AGTAATATATTGGAGATTTTTCTATGTTGGTAGATAGAGAGTGTTCTCACTCTATTTTATAACCTGAACGCACTGACGTGTATTTAACCCACCCTACTGGTGAACGTCTGGGCCTTCTCCTGCTTTTTTTTTCAGAGGATTGTGTTCTTTTTCCAGGATATCCTGCTGGTCTGATAACTGAGTCATGTAGATGGTTTCTGGATTTTGTTAAGCATTAAAATTAGGCAGGAAAAAAAGAATAGGAATATGAGAATAAGAATTTCTCTATCTTTTTAAAAATTATATTTTTTATTGATTTCAGAGAGGAAAAGAGAGATAGAAACAGCAATGGTAAGAGAGAATCATTGATCAGCTGCCTCCGGCAGACCCTCTACTGGGGATTGAGCCCACAACCCAGGCATGTGCCCTGCCTGGGAATTGAACCCGTGACCTCCTGGTTCATAGGTCGACGCTCAACCCCTGAGCCATACTAGTTTGGCTCTCCTGTCATTTTCGAATGACTCTGTCACCACGCCCAAATTCCCTTTCTTGACCCTGTTACTGCCCCCTTCTCTGTCTCTTCATTGTTAAACAATTTAGCTGGGGAAATAAAATCATAGTTAATTGTTGAGAAATCTGTGATTTGCAGAACCATTTTACATGTATTTTTAAAAAGGTAAAATGCCAGATCGCATGTGGGGAAGATAATGCCATAGTTTTCGGGCATATGTTCAATTAGCCAGGAGTCTGATTGGCCACCTTGGGAACTCTAACTTGTTATCTATCTAACTCAGACACTGTTCTCCCTCCTGCTGGGGACCTGAGAGAACAAAGTTAACGTAAAATGTAGGAACTCAGCTCACAGAATCTCAAGTTGCATTTAAAAATTAGGCCAGCTAAGGCTTGTGGGACCCCCAGGTAAACTGCAACAGAAGCAACAGAAGAAGCAAGGAGATTCCTGTGAGAGAGTGGGATTCAATGAGATTCTCCCCAGCGAGGTCCCATCTGTTTCCAGAGCAATTCTGAGCTCCATCAGATGACACAGGGAGGGAAACGGCATGGACTGCACATGATCTGTAAGAGGGGGCAAGTGTGCTATCCTACTCCAAGGGCTGTGGGAGCTGAAACCACCGGAGCTCTGGCCACACCCCTCCTCCCCTCCAGGCTACAGTCAGATTCCACTGCCTCCCATGCCCTCATTAGTATGTGTTTGAGGCACTTTATCTGTTACCCATTCCTCATTCGTTCTCAAAGTTCCCCTTAAAGCGTCTGCACATTCTGTACAAGAGTCATTCTGTGCTAAATTGAACCAGGACCTAGGGCTCCCTCAGGGAAGCAAATGAATAACTGGTGATAGCCAAAGCCAATCTCTCTCTCTCACACACACAGAGGCAGGGCACAGGAAATGATTAAGAGTCAATAAAACAAATTGTTTAGTCACTTCGTTACAAAATTATTAAGAACAACTGCCTCTGCCTCTATGGAATCTAAAATAAATGTAGTCTAACAGTTGTTAGAAAACTAAATGCTTTCAGCACAAAAACTGCTGAAAAGTAAACAAAGAGGAGTTTTGGTTTTGTTTTGTTGTGTTTTTTTTTGGGGGGGGGGGGGGGGACATGATCAGATTGAAGTCCTTGTGGATATGAGCAGTGTTATAGGCCAAACCATAAAAGGAAGAAATCAGACATTGCGGTGGCCCACTGTAAAGAGTTTTTTCTTTTTAATTATGGAACGCTTCACGAATGTGCGTGTCATCCTTGTGCAGGGGCCATGCTAGTCTTATCTGTATCGTTCCAATTTTAGTATATGTGCTGCCGCAGCGACCACAAGAGTTTTGAGCCAGGAGGGCTGCAGTTATGAACCCAGGAACTTCCCAATATAAACTCACGTCCACAAAATCATAAACCCCCGAGTGGCTCTAACAAACACACTCATGCTTTATGAGCATTCAGGGACAGGAACTATTGAAAGTCCAGGGCTTGAATGACCAGAAATCACAGAAACAATAAGCAGGTGTCTGAGACGTGGAACCTCATTTACCTCCTATCCCCTCTCAAAGAGTTGACCAGCTCTTCAAAAGGCCCTGACCTTTTAAGAGGTTGCTAATACAATCCCAGATTTCCTTTCCACAGAAAACATCAGCAATTCTTTATTGTTGAATGAGGTGGGAGGGGATAAGAGAAAAACCAACTAGATGATGGTTTAGGTAATGATGAGGTGATCCTGAGAAGTCAGGTCAGAGGAGGTGATGAAGGGCTTAACCAGTGAACACCTCCACAGAGTCAGGCCCCTGGCTGACAGACTCTCCTGGTCCAGGGCTGGAGGCTGAGTGAGTGTACCTGCAAGCCTAATAAACCTTTGCTACCATCAGTGGCCCCAACAAGGGCTGTGCTGAACTTCCTGCAGCAAGACGAAGTTTGAGAACCCTCCCCGAACATGGACTGTTGTGCGGAGAAGGGTGGAGTGAAGTACAGACAGGCAGACAGAGTCCTCAGAAGGCTAGGACAGTCAGGTGTGCCTGAGTACAAGCAGGCGTTTAGATTTGGAAAGGTGAGAGGTAGAGAGGTAAGGCTGAGTCTTTGCGAGCCAAACATCTGCCTGCCAGCTTCTTGCTTTCCAACACCAAACCGAATAAGAACTGAGAGCATTTTCTGTAATGCTTGTATTCTGCTGTGATGAAGATTCCAGGTAGCAAAACCGATATGTGCTTCTACAG